ATCAAATAACATCAAATGTTTCTTAAGTTATGTAGTCTAGCTCATAAAGATACTAGCTAAATAAAATTGTTAAACAACTTCAAATATTTTTAAATGTTTTTCAAAAAAATCTGTTTAAGAACTTCTCACCTTGACATGTGTCATGCATTGGTTTTGTTATTAACACATCTTACGTGGTAGAGTTTGGTTTAGGTGTTTGTGAATAACAATTCAGGTTTTAACCCGGAGCTCAATTTCACTCCTGCCACTGATCTCAGGTTAATTTTTCCCAAGATAAAACATTCCAGTCATTGTTCCTAATGGACTGCTTGCTGCCAACTAATAATTACTTAAGCTACCAAGTATCATCAAGGAAAAGTTCTTTCAGGAACTCTTGAGAACTATAAAGATTTACATACTCAGATATCTGGCATTTCTCAATCCGATTTTGGGACTATGTCAAATCTTTATTAGAAGGTATACAGACTACTACATGACAATTTCCTGTTTTGCAGAATTTATAAATTACCATATCTCTAATTACAGTGAGAAACATGCTTCCTATTACCAACTGCAAAGCTTAACTTTTCCTTCTGATGAAGCACTCACTGCATGATTTACTTACAACAGCAATTAAGTATATATATATATATGCCAAATGTGTTCTAATTGATTCAAAAGCAAAATTATATGAATCAGTTATAATAAAGTTACTGCTAATTTATTTATCATAAGTACACTTTTAGAGCCATTAAATCTTAGGTTGATATTATGAGGGTATCTGCTGTAGTCTGTGATAGATGGACATATAGCCACATGTTTTGGAATAGCCAAGGGAAATCTAAACAGTGCTTAATAATCACAAAGGCCTTTTTAACTGGAGTAGATCTTTCTCATACTCATCAATTTCCTTTTACATCATAAATCACCTAACATGAACTATTCTAATTTTGAATTTCTGACAAATGCATGGGACAATGTTACATTACAGAAATTTTCTCTTCTGACAAGGTTTAATGAAAGTTCCAGCGACTTCTCAGTCCCCAAATTTTATTAACTAAAACACCATGGAATCATATCTCACAACCAAGGACTCCAAACTGCCTTACAGTGCCTTCTATAACTTAGAAAGTTTCTAAAGTTATAGAAATATTTCCAGATTGCTGTTCAGACATATTCACTTTTAAAAGACCTGTTACCTCAAAAGCATAATCTTATATAGAGACAATCACATTCACAAATGGAAACTGAATACCTATAGAGGTTAATCATCTGAACCAATTATTAAATGTCCATAATGAATATCAAATGGATTGGTACTTCATTAAATACCTCTTCGACTTCTATACGAGAAACAATGGTTTCATTGTGACTTTTAGAAATGCTTTCAGTTTGTTGAAAACATATCTAGGCTCTAATATTTTTATTCTTCATGTTGAACAAAAATCTGGTTAAAAAATATCCATCAACCTTTGGGATTCAGTCACAGAACATTCTATTTTTTTGGACCTATGATGAAAAGAGTCTCTAAAAACTGTAGCCTTCCAATTAAACATTACTATAATAAGAACATTAAAAATGATGGACCCTGATTATAAATATAAAATATTTTAATTTGACTTCATTCCTTTTATTTATATGAAACTGAAATAAAGAGCCTAAAAAGTTTATTCCCAAATACTTTGTGACTATGTATTATTTTTAAATTTCCTGAAGAAAATTTCTTAAATTTTAAAAGTAAATACTTTTAAAGTTTAGAAACAAAGTATCTGGTTGGGTGGGATTTAACTGATGTCCAAATCCACATAATGGTCTGTCTTCTTTAATTTTGGATTACATTAATGTCAATCAGGTCTTTATAAGATAATCACTTTTATATAGCATCAGTTGGTATCACATGATGAATGGAGAATAAAATAGTTTCTATATTGCAAGTTTGGGATAATTTCAGTTTACAAACTTAAATAAATAACTATTACAGGACCACAATATGCATGGACTGTCCTGGGCCTGATAACCTACTAGTGGCTAGAGATACATGGGTCCACCTTTAAGCTTTTTACTTTGTGTTTTCTTTTCTCTTTCTTTCTTTCTTTCTTTCTTTCTTTCTTTCTTTCTTTCTTTCTTTCTTTCTTTCTTTCTTCTTTTTTTCCCTTTGGCTGTGTGTATGCTTACCAGGGAGAGAGACAGTGAGAAGGAAAGTGAGAACTCACTCCCCAAGGGGATAGCCACAGGGCAATCCCTTCCCCTCCTTTCCCCTCCTGGGATCTTAGGATATGTGTACACATTCCCAGAGTAATTTTGAAGTCAGCAGATCCGGGACTCAAACCATGGCTGACCATGTGGGAGTCCAGAGACATAACTGTGTGCCATCTGCTAGACCCACACTTTTTTCTAAAGGAGTTTACTTCTCATAGTCTGAAGTATCATTTGCATCCTGTTTGTCTCTAGAAATCTCAAGTATTCATTTATTGTGAGAACAATTACAGTACTATTTCATGAAATTTAATCTTGGGTAATTATGTATCATTCCAAGAGTGAACAAGAGGAAAAGACAGGCAGAGATTAAGATGCAAAAAAATTCAGTGAAAAAATTTTCTTGAAATTTTGTGATTTCAAATTAATATTCCTTCTAGCAATTAGTATTTTTTCCTACTGATAAAAGCTCAATTATGCGGAAGTTGTTCTCTTTATTTACTTCATATATCACTGGGCATACAAATTTATTATTCAAATTCTACCTTTACGTTCTACAAGAAAAGATAGATAGACAATAGATTGACTGAGGTGGGGAATGCATTGGCTTTTATGTGGTAACTATATTATCATCAATCGCATTATCTCTGAAAAAATAAATCACTCATCATTTAAGGAAAGTTATTTGGTTTCTGTATGTTAAATCACTCAAATCATGGTAAACAAAATGGATAAACATACTCATGTAATTAATTTGTTACCTATATATATTCACTTCTGAGAAGGTGAAAAAATAAAATAAAACAAAATTATCTTATATATTACATACTAAATATAAAAATATTAATTTCATTTAAGTAGACCATATGATTTATTCACTTAAGGAATTTAATTAATTGAAAATACCTGTATTTTTATGCCCTCAACCATTGCTGTGTTTCACATTCTTTAACGGATCAAAAAATACAAATCTTTAATTATTATAGTAATTTAAACACATCCTCATAGTTCCCACCTTTGCCAAAACAATTGGGTTGATAAGATATCACCTTCAGGCAACATTCATTTTCTTAAAAATCTTCCAAAATTACTAAACTGCCTAATTAAAAAAAACTTTCTTTCCACTTTTTTGTAATCTCGTATAGAAAATGTAATATTATAAAAAGAGGTTTTATACTCACCTCCTTGAATGAAAGCAAACGTTATGGGTTGAGTAGATGGTAGAGTGGCCAAACTGATGTAATGAAAGTGGAGAATGCACTTCCCTGAGGGAAATTTACAGGGGTGCACGGAAAACTTTATTGCATTGCTACATGGCATGCCAGTGACAGGATTCTTGAATCCCCCGCCCCCAAATAAAAAACAACTACGTGGGTAGTATGCCAGAAACACCACTTGTTGTATAAAACTATGAACTTTTCCAAAGTTATTTTTTATACATTTTGGTGACATTCAACAAATGCCAAAATAATGCTACAAAAATAATGCTTCAGAAAGTCATTTTACAAACAGAACTCTTTTGGGGGGGATGCTACTGGAATATGTTTTTATTCCATCCCCACTATTAAAATATAAAACTGATTTTGGCAATCAGCATTAACATATTTTTAAGAACACTCAAAGCTACTTTAACATACATTTTCACTAATTATAAAAGCCATATTTGTTACATAGTATCAAATTCTTAGCAAATAAAACCGCTTTAGAAAGTTTCACAGTTTTATTACTGTTTCAGGTGCTTAAGGAATTTTAGTTAACTAAATCATAAAAATACCTGAGACAAACTAAAATAGAATTTTTCAGGCAGACATCTGTGCACGAAATAAAGTATGGGGATTTACTTGAAAGTTCTATCACTCTATATTGTCATGCAGGCAGTTTAAAATAATTATATCATTTCCTACCATGTAATTGTATCCTTTCAAATTTACACTAAGCAAATTACAAGTACAAACAGGCATGACTGAGTCAAGGGTGGTGGAAAAGCCCCATGCTGAAAGAAATATATTTTTAAAAGCCCATGTCCAAAATTATCTTCATCATTTGGCAAAAAAATGTAATTTTTAAGGTGCACATAAAATATTAATAAGACTGAAAAACACACACTGGCACAAAATATCTGTGCACATTTGTGTGTGCTTTAAGTACAGCTATTTATACAATGAGCAGTGCAAACTTAAACTAACAAGTTAAATCAAAGTCAAATAGTAATAATAAGGATGAAAGAAGATAACCGTGTGAAACTCCCTATAGATCCTAAAAACCACCTAAAATTCTCAAAGATTTGTTGTTAGAATCTGTTCACACAAACTTTCTCTACAGAGTATTTTCACTCTGGGAACTTTCCAGGCTTCAGAAATGCCCTATGCTCAGGGGAGCCATCGCACTGTTTCCGGATTGTATCAGCAGCTGTGTTTTTCAATCTAATTAGTGACTATAAATTGTAGTTAAATCTTCATCAAAATGTTAACCCTTTCTTTAATATCCTACAGTTCTGTTTGAAACAAAATGAATTTTGGCATCCTATCACCTTCAAATGTACAGGCACTAAAAAAGAATTGGTTCATTAGGCTAGTTGTGGAACCAGGACTGATCAAAGGGGAGAAAGAAGTCAAAAAAAAGATATTCCTTATCAGCTGGAATTCTTGCCATTTCCCGATACTGGCTTCATCAATACTGGAACAATATTCTTACTATCGAAGTGTTCAGACTGATCCTAAGTTCCTAGGTCCTTTGTTCCCCGAAAGCAATCTCCATCATAATCCAAGCGCAGCAAAACACATACTTTCACACGTAGTAACCCAAGTACACACACTCGACCTTACCTATTTTTATGCCGAGTTTTCAGTAAGTTTCTTCCAAAGGGAGCCATGGTCTGCACAGCAACAGGGAGCGTGTCTCAGTGATCTGGGGGTAAGGGTCAGAGTATCTGGATTTCTGGGTGTAGGGAGGAGGGTGGAAGCTTCCTCTTCACCTCCTCAGATGTTCTGGCTTTCAGCTCATTAGTAGCCGGCTGAGAGAGTTGCTGGAAGTTGTGCAACTACTGCCTAACTTTGAACTGCGGGATTGTTGTGGCTGGTTCCCCTTTGGAGACCTGCCCAGCTCCAGCCTCTAAGAAGGCGTTTGGAAGCAGGAAAAAGAAAAAAAAAAAAAAAAAAGAGAGCGAGACAGAGAGACAGAGAGAGTGAGAGGAAGGGAGGGGGACTCTATTGTGTTCTGTAGTTATTTGCAGACCAGCTAAACTTTCAGAACTGCCAACCCCACAGGCATGGTAATACCCAGGGAATGGAAATTTCACTTGATTTGGAAACCCCCTTCCCCCACTTTCAACACTCAACCACAGGAGGTGAACTGAACACACATAAAAGGATTAAAAGTAAATACCACTCCTCACCCCCACCTCCCAGCCAGCTGGAGTCTGTGAAAAGTAATCTGATCATGGTAAGCAGGAGAGGGCCAAGAAGTCTTTGCCTTCTTCCTATGTGATACAAAAATCCCCTGCCCTAGTTGTCGGTGCTTGAAAATAGTTGAAGGAAGAGCGAAGCTGGAATCTGAATCAGGGCAGATTCGGGGAACACTTGGGTATTTAAAATTCTTACATCAAAATAATAAGTGCTTCCCCCAACTCCCCTCATCCACACTTTTCAGTTCCTTTTCCAAAAATTGTAGGACCTGAAGGCCCAAAAGACTCCAGGGCTGACTGATCACAGCATTCTTGTGTAGCTGCAACCCGCTGGGGTTTTGTGCTGGACTCCCAAGCAGCTTTGGCATTTCCTGGGCCTGTAGGGTCCTGGGAGTTTCAGAGGAAACGTGATCTGGAGGAAAAGTGATCTGTCTGATCTGTCTGCTCTCGGCCCTTCAAATAGTAAAGCAAGAGAGGACACACCTAGAGGATTTCATGGAACTCAAAGTGTGTAGTAGAGGTTGAGAGGTTGGTGGCTGCCCTGGTTCCAGGAGAGCTTGAACCTACGACCCCAGAAGGACAGAGCTGGGCTAGTGGACCCGGATGTGTGCACTCTGGCACAGTGCTCCAGACCTGCGATGCCATGGGAAAGCTCTGTGTAGGGGCAAGGATCTGGAGACTTTTCCCAGAACTTTTCTAGGATTTCACCCCACTAACACCAACCCATCCTCACCCTCCACCCTGCCAAGCTTCTAGTCCTCCGATTCCACACTAGCCCATATGAGAAGGAGGGGAAGCTGGTGGGTTTGGCCTTGGCAAAGAACATGAATGGCTCACGCTTTCTCTGAGAGCCACCCCAAGGACAGCAACACTAGGTGACCTGGAAGGTTTCAGTAATTTTTACATGCGCTGATTTGTGCAGGAATCACAGCCCTCACAGAAATCAGGTTTTTTTCACCCTTCCTTACCATCATAATAGTTTTCTAGTTCTCTATACTTTCTGTATATTTTGTATATACAGATAAATATATGTGTTTTATGTATATTCTTTTATTATTTATTTTATTATTTGATATTTTTCTTTATAATTTTGTTTAAGGTATTATATATAATACCTGTGTATACATACATACAACCTAAATCATTATAAATTTTTTAAAACTCACAATAGCCAATGTTATAATTCAGCCACCTTTTTATATTTCTAGGAGTAGGATAATGTAAAAATATGTGCTCATCTCGGGACCAGCAGATGATGTAATGGTTACGTTGCTGGACTCCCATGCAGTCCACCGCAGTTCAGGACCCAGACCTGGTGGCTTAAAACCCACACCAGGCCTGGTGCCAGAGGAAGTGTTAAGACACCAATAGTAGTCATGGCATATAAACATACACAAAAATGCACATGTATATACACACACACAGGCACATAAATATATATACATATATATATATGTTACAGGCTATGTAGATGTATATAAGTACTTTACATTCCATATAAATTACATAATCCTGGGTATACTTTTATTTTAGTTCTTGATTTCATTTTTATGAATGCTAGTATATCAAAAAAAAAAAGAATTGAAACTTTTATGGAAGTTAGCCTAATTATTTATCTTTTTAGAGAGGTTTTTTGGCTATAGGGTACATGCACTCACCAGAAAGACAGAGAGAGACAGAAAGACAGAAAGTGAGAAATCACCCCCCAGGGGGAATGGCCACAATCCCTTTTCTTCCATTCTCCTCTCAGGATCTTGGGCACGCATGCACACGCACACAGCGTGAGTTTAAGCCACCAGGTCTGGGACTCAAACCACGGTCGACTACATGAAAGTCCAGCAACATAGCCATTACACCAACTGCTGATTCCCAAGAAGTTTGCCTAATTATTCAAAATTAGTCAAAATATAGTCCCCTAAAGCTATACTGTTTACTCATTAATATCATGAATACAGTCAACTTGTAAAAATTTTTGCACTTACTTATAATCCTTGTTTCTCGTATTTTTGATTCTCTGTCCTTATAAATAGTATTTATTTATGTTTGTTTATTGCAGTTTTCAATTAAAAAATTAATGGAAAAATGAGGAAACAACACTACATATTTATTAGCATAGTCTTAGTTTGCCTTTTAAGTTATCACAAATGATTCTCATGTAAGGTGTTATTTTTTTCTCACATAAAATATCCTATGAATGTTTTTCATGAGAAACTCTTTGATGTGTAAGGATTAAATACAAAGCTATTTATACATATTAAATATATACAATTTTTATGTGTCAATTATACTTCAATAAAGCTAGAAAGAAAAACATAAAGGGTTAATGTCCCTCAGATATTAAGCCTGAAAGGAAAAAAAAAAAAAAAAAAAAAAACATGGACGCTAACACCTACCATAAGAAAAATTTTTAAAACAAGCAAACAATATTAAAAGAAAATAACAAAACCGTGTTGTTAAAAGTTCCCTTTCAGGCCCAGCAGGTGGCATGGTTGTTAAGGGTGCTGGACTCCCACATGGTTGATTGTGGTTCAAATCCCAGACTTAGCAGCTTGCTTTCTCACTTTCTCTCTCTCTCACTCTGTCCCTTTCTGATCAAATTTAAATAAATAAATAAATTTAAATAAAATAATTCTAAAGAAAAGTTCCCTTTCTCTGGTAACTGTAAGCCTATAGTTACATTGAAATGTAATTTTATTTTGTATCTATCAAATTGGCTGATTTTTTTTTCTTTTTTTGGTGATGATGCTCTACTTTGTCAGTGTAATGGTCAGAGTACACTACACTGTATGAGTAGTATAGATTGGATTGTTATTAAAAAATATAAATGTGGTTATGTACAGTATGACCTTCAAAATAGTCAAACTCTTACTCAAGTTTTTTTAATAAGATTTTTTTCCCAAGGAAATAACAAGTGTCACAAAAGGTTTATGTTCATTAATGTACATATTGAGAACTAAATGAAATAATGCAGACAAAGTGTTGATATAGAATCTAAATACAATTTTTATTATGTGGTAGAGAGTTTTAAGGAAAATGCTCTCAAACTTAAAAATAAGGCAAGAGAGTAATCAGATGGCCTTTCACTGGAGCTTTATTTGATGGTCCTTCTCAAACATTACCCAATTCTATGGAATAATGCATTCTTTTTTACTACTGCATAGTGATATACTGAAACTCGTTGAAAGAAATGATAAGTTGTAAAAAATAGTTTAAGTTGCTAATGCATTTATTTAAGAGCAAACAAATAATTTTTGTCTAATAGGAAAAAATGGTTATGGTTTTATTGCCTTGCAGGACATCAACTAATTTTTTTTTTTTGAGAGATTTTCAATGTAGGGCGCGTGCACTCGCCAGACAGACAGAGAGAGACATAGAGACAGAAAGCGAGAAATCACCCCCCAGGGGGGATGGTCACGCCGCAGTCCCTTCTCCTCCATTCTCCTCTCGGGATCTTGGGCACGCACGCACATGCGCCCAGCGTGAGTTTTAAGCCACCGGGTCCGGGACACGAACCGCGGTTGACTACATGGGAGTCCAGCGACATAGCCATTACGCTAACTGCTGGTTCCCGACATCAACTAATTTTATATCTCACTTAATTTTCTCTCAAAATTCTGTCTTAAATTTATATATTTATAAAACAATCTTTCCTATACTCTTCTGGACCAACTTTATAATTGTGCTGCATCATTCATTTATGAGTTGAGTCAATTTGGGGGCACTTTCTCACTATGTATTTGTATGAAGTTTTACATTCTAGCTTTTTAACATTATACTTTGCAAACCTATAAGAACGAATCAGTCTTTTTCTGGACCAATAAGAAGTCTTCATAAGATAAAGATGGTTATTCATCTGTAGAATTTTTATTTTTCTTAAAACATAAAATGTATAAAGAGGATTTTTATGATAGAAAACAAAATGCCTTTTAGTTCCTTTCTGAGTATGAAGTTCAGCTAAAGTAAATTAAAAAATACATTTCCTTACATATTTAGATTATTATATCAAAATTAATATGGATGGTAGTATAATAATAACAAAAAGTATAAATGAATATCATCAATTAAATGAAGATTATTTAATCAGCGGTTGAGTTGAGAGCAAAAGTTTAACAGTGTTAAAACATATTCTGGAAGGGATCAGCAGTTAGTGTAACAGCAATGTCGCTGGACTCCCATGTAGTTGACCACAGTTTGAGTCCTGGACCAGGTGGCTTGAACTCACACCGGGTGCATGTGCATACATGCCCAAGATCCCAAGAGGAGAATGGAGGAGAAGGGATCACGATATGGCCATCCTCCCTGGGGGGTGATTTCTTGCTTTCTGTCTCTGTCGCTCTCTGACTAGCGCATGCACCCTATAGCAAAAACCTCTCAAAAACAAATTCTGATATAAAATATATCACTTATTCATCTAGTTCATTTTTAAAGCACAGATCCAGCCTATGTTTATATTAATTTTCTTCAGAAAAAGAAGTCTTGGGACCAGCAGTTGGCATAATGGCTATGTTGCTGTACTCCCATGTAGTCGACCACAGCTCAAGTCCCGGACCCAGTGACTTAAACTCACACGGGTGTGTGTGTGTGTGTGTGTGTGTGTGTGTGTGTGTATGCGTGCCCAAGATCCCAAGAGGAGAATGGAGGAGAAGGGATTGTGGCATGGCCTGGGCGGGGATTTCTCGCTTTCTGTCTCTCTGTCTCTTTCTTT